TGTTATGGTTAGTTTATGGTAAATACAATGCGATGTCAAGATAAAATAGATAAGCCATGGCATACTATCAAGTGTGAGTATGCTGGGCATCTTCACATAATTACGACGCAGAAATCATAATACAAGTGCTGTCTGTTATATAAATAGATAACAGTCCTGGTTTACACAAATACTCATTACGTGCATGTATTTGAAAATATTTAATTGGGAGAATCCAGAAATTTCTTGATTCCGCCGATATCATTATCGTGTTCCACGAAGGTAAAAATAATGCTGACGTTTCACAGGTTATCCCAACCCAACAATCAAAATATTTGCGATAGGAGTTCAGCTTACGTAAAAGATTAATTAACGAGAGCAGATAGAAGCGTCCATATCTCTGGATTTGTGATAATCCGTAACTAAATCCTCACTTTAACATTCCCATCCCAGCAGAACAGAAATTTACCTTGATTGTGCATAGCCAAAGTTATCACACAATAAATATTTGAACGTTCCGATAAAGATTAGCGAAATATTCCATGGGTCGAGGGTCTCTGCGTAAATTTGGTCATACTAGATTCCCAAAAATTTTAACTTTTGCCATCAATTACTTACAAAGAAATTCCTAATATCCCTCTTCAGTTCGTTACGTATTGTATGGGCATTCCACCATAAATTCGCCATTATTCAAATAGTCAGTATCGAGTCACTGAGCTGTTTCTGATTAATCATTATAATCAAGCAAATGTTAGAAAATAAATCTGATAACTGACATTTCACACGTTATACTGAGTAGTTACCTTGTCCAGGTCCTCCGATCCGGTCGATTAGAGGAGAGAATCGCGTACAAAAATAATTTCAAGGTTTAATTATCCTTCGCAACAACTATGTTACCAATAGTTGGACTAACTGTGGGTTTTATTTCCACATTAATCGGGCTCACAACTAGTGCCATGTACGATGGGCACAGCATGCTTAGAGTCACACCACAGACCAAGCGACAAGAAGATCATTTAAGGGACCTGGGTAAACACCAAGGGGTATGCGCACTCTAAATAATTTGGTAATAACACTATTACCATGTGGAGACAGTATAAGTGCCTTCGTAACCATATTGAGTCATCGCCTTGTAATTGTCTTATTACCGTAATATTTACACGTGTATCTATACAAAAATGGTGTCAAATTTTCCAAATGTGTCCATAATCAATTTTCTTTTGTTTTGACCTTTTAGAATATAACGAAAGTAATAATTTCAAATGTAAATAATTATTAATCAATTATGTCCCATTTTTACTTTTAAGGTATCATTTATTGGAGGTGATCCTCTTGTTGGGGATCATTCCCATGTAATTACTTCCCCACAAGTGTTGGATTTCGTGTTGGAATCTTTGAAAAAATTCGAAACTGAGCATCTTCTAACTAATCCTGATGTAGGAAGGTAAGACCCCTTTTAAAACGGGATTCATTTTCTAATATTATCTAATTTTTCTAATTTCTAATTTTCTAATTTTTCTAATTTTCTAATTTCACTTTCTAATTCTAATATTTCTAATCATCATTTTCTAATTCCAGAAAATTTTTTGAGATTTCCCCAGATTTTTCCCTCATTTTTATTCCCCCGCAAATCTCGTCTTAAATTTCCTACATTACCAGGAAATCCATACCCTCGAAATACTCTCAACTTTTCTGCAACCAATCCATATTATTTTTTCAAATAATTTATTGAAGGCAGACAAATTTGTATACCTAACCAAATCGTACAATTTTATCAAGAACAATTATTATTTTGCCTCATAAGTACTTTAAAAAAATAGGTCAATCCGTTCTCAAAAGGTCAGGACTAGAATGAATGGAGATATCAGTTGGGACGCATACTACGATTTGGACTCGGTTAACAAACTTACATATTTATCTATTCTATTCAAATCTCACCAACTGATTTTCCCGCTAATTCTATGTTTGAATAGATCAACCAATACCTGAGCGTTCAAAGTGTCGGACATCCTGACCTCGTGACCCTCACAACGATCGGAAAATCGTTCGAGGTAAGGGACTTATTTCTCCTCAAAATTAACAAGGGCAGCACCACGAAACCAATTATATGGATTGATTCTAATATTGTAAAAATATTACTACCGCCATTTTTAAGCTAGTTATTTCTTCAAATGGAATCTTATTTTAGCATGCCCGAGAATGGATTTCATCCGCGGTCGGGCTCTATTTGATCGATCAACTCCTGAATAGCCCAGATATTCAGATTCAAGCTTACTTGGACGATTTTAATTTTCACATTTTACCCATGGCTAACCCGGACGGATTCGTTTTCTCTGATTTAACCGTATAAATTCAAATGAATGTCGAGGGAGACCTATTTAGTTTTTTTTAGTTAAAGCGCATAATCTCTTAAAATGGAGTAATCTCGCAAACGCAATTTCCGACTCGCCGACTATCAAGTTACCTTTCACATTACTCGCTTAATCTTGATTAGTTCAAACAAATTTACTTCAAATTAATTCAACTTTATGCGCTTAAAACAAAAAATACTGGATTTCACCCCCCCCATGTGCTAACCCTGTACTGCATTGGCCGCGGATGGCGACCTTTGTTCTTGTCCCAGAATCTCCCCACATAGGCAAGAACTATCCACGTCATACCCAAAAATACTAAACCCCTCCCCCCCGACCTTCTGCGGCCACAGTTCACAACAAATATCTAATTCCATTATTATTCCTAAGTAGGACAGATTTTGGAGGAAGACCCGATCAAACACTTCTGCCACGGCAATAAATGGATGCCGTGGCGTAGATCCGAATAGAAATTTCGACGCCTACTGGCTAGGTAAGGTTCATCAAAGACTTTGTTTTTCTTACCCCTGCGAGTTTTCTGCATATTTTTCCTCTCCAAATTTTTTAATTAGTTCCGACAAGAAGGTCACAATGTAGTGGACATACTATAAAATAGTATTAAAAAATTGGAAATTTTAGTAAATTTTAGTAGTTTTCAAAATTTCAACCCTTCTACTTATAATTAACCGATTCGCAGGTTACTGCTTTTGAGCAAGCGTCCATTTTATGGAGGCCAACTCTCTCTATAACTTGAACGCCAATCAGTATCTATTTTCTATTTTCCAGAAAACGATGGGGGTTCTAAAGACCCCTGCGACCTTTATTTCGCTGGAGACGCCGTTTTCACAGAGTTGGAATGCATAGCAATTGCGCAATATTTAGACTCCATCCTTGCCAACCTTATTGCTTACATAAGTCTGCACAGCTGGGGGCAAAACGTTTTAATTCCGACGGGACGAGATTCTACGCAAATACCGGAATATAATGAATACGTACGTGCGTATACCGGCGTTTGTAAATTGTCTAACTCAAAATTTTACCCTATTCGATAGATTTAAAGTCAAAATCACCCTCTACAAATTTATATAAAATGCTCCTTCCGTTACCTAATTTATGGACAGACGTTAACAAAAATTTTACCCAATTCTGCCACAACAAATACCAACGAACATAAATATTTTATTAATCTAGATTAGAATAGCAAACTTGGCCGCGGCAGCCCATCAAATCCCACATGGCATGGTTTACACAACCGGAAGTGTGTTCGATGTTTGGCGTATGCTTTTACAATCATTTCGTCCAGTAAATTTCACGATTTATAATTGTCTTTGAATATTTGTTTCTAGACCCGGCCCCAGGGACCAGTATGGATTGGGCGTACTTGAATTTTCCATCCGCCAAGATACATCTGACCTATGAATTCAGGGACAAAGGGCAATACACCGTCCTTTTACCCGCAGATCAAATTTTGCCGCAATGTGAAGAATTCATGGCAGGGATCAAGGTCATTTTCGACGAGCTTAAATAAATTCCATGTAAAAATTCATGAAATAAATTATTACGACTTGAGCGAAGCGGTGATAAACTATTGACTTAAACTAGCTATTATGTATTTACGTATAATAAACTATTTTCGCTTCAAATTTTTTTACTACGTTGAATAGTTTGAATAGTTGAGGGTAAAGCTAATGAGAACAAAAAAAACACCCGCTACCAGAACTTTCAGGCCGAATTTCGGGATCGCTACTGAAGGTGTATCCGATTTTCTTCCCGTCCTGTATCGGGCATTATGCTGGCTCAATTTTGGATATAACTCGATAATCGATTCGTCGGTCCAAAGGTCATGGTTTCTTTATTCTTCACCGAGTATTTTTTCACTCAAATTGCCAGTTTTTTGAAGAATTTCTCCAAATTTCAGCCGATCGTCCAGATTTTTTTGCGACATATGAGGTTTTCTGGTTAGTCTGTAAGCTGTGTGAGCCCACCTTGTTGATTTCACAAATTTTTGAACCGTAATATAGCTAATCTCCTTCCCCTTCTGTTTGTACCGATTTGAATCATTCAGCTCCCGTGCATATTTACGCAGTGAACTCCCGGTTTTCTTGTGAAGTTGGTGCTTAATCATTGTTTTTGTTTTAGGCGACAGCTTTCTGCGTCGCCTTAGTTGTTTTTTGTTTTCGATAACATTTTTGTTCTTCCATTTCCAGACAGTCTGTGAGTCACATCCTAATTCACACATTCCAAAGTAACAGCTGAGTTTGTATTTAAAAAAATCCAAAAAAATCATCGGGACCTGCAAGTGTGACACCCTGTAAAGGTGTAGATGTATGCATGCAATTTAATTTATGTCTACATGTTTATTGCGCGTAATGCTAGTTGGTGGCCATAGTGTGAGCGCCAATATGCGAATTATTTATTAACGTTGTGGAATAACTGAAATGCAGAAAATTAAAATTTCCTGCAATTGTACGTAATCTGTTTCCACAGCATTATCGTGACATTTCCTCACTATAGCTTTGCTCCACGACCCAACCCTCATTCATGAAACCATTAGATCAACATGCTCCAGAATTATGTATTTATGATAAATGTCAATGCCAATCGTTCGAGCGCAATTAAATAGCTCACCCAGTATGGCTATCAAGCAACTCATTTTGATGAATGCCTCACTGCAATTGTAAAATGTCCATTAGAATTCCCAATATTTATTCTAAAATTTGTATTGCCCCGCATACAATTTATTTCAGATTAGGTAACCTAATCTGAATTTTTCAGGAATTAAAAATATTTAATTACAGAACAGACTTATCTAAGAATGATGATTTGTGTAAATGTAATTAATGCAAAATTAAATTTTGTGTACGATTATCCAGCAAGGTGTATGAAGTGTTTCGAGCGCCGGCTTTGCATCATTATCGTTTTGCTTATGGCGTAAAATTGCAGAGCCTGACCACATGCATATGCACACCTAATGCTTAGGTGGCAGGGATTCATCCATTTTGTTCCCGAATTTAACCATTTTTTCCACCAAATATGTTGCCACCACATTGCATCTCAATACAACAGGATGTAACCCGTTATTATTGAGCCGGGCATTCTTCAACCAGTCCAGAATCGCTTGTAAATCCTTCGTAAACTGGGACCCGTCCTTGGATTTTTCCAACTTTTCCTTCTTCCCGTCCTTATCAGGGTCCGGATACACTATCCCCTTCAACTTGAGCTCCTTCGTGAATTGATACACGGTCCAAATCATGACAAAGTAGGAAATGTATGTGAACAAGGTCAGGGCCGTGAGGGCGGTAGAAAGTCGGCGGGAGAAGGCGAGGGTCACTACGGTGTCGTCTTGTTGTCCCAAGATGCACACATTTAGATAAACGGACACCAAAAAAATCCCCACCTGACCTTCCCACCAAGCCTGAAGTTTCCAGTAATGTAACTAAATATATCAAAAAAAATGCAATGATTTGAAAAATAAATTCCAATTAAGCAAACACGAAAAATATGTAGGTGCACATACGTCTCTTTCTCCTTGCATAAGTTTCCCGCCCAGGATACACTGCATGATTAAGTAAATCAGGGCGAAATACCCAGCCGTAAACCGGAATAGTTTCATGTCGCTGCTAGCACCGGATTTAGGTCCGCATAATATGGAGAAAAATCCGAAATATTCTTGCTCAAATGGGGTCAGCCATGAAGATCTTGAGTCAGACATTGATGGGTTAATTTCGTCCCCGGTGGAGAATGATGGAGTCACAGTGTCGAATTCATCATAATCTTGAGAAACAGAATCAGAAGGTGTGGCAGCATTTATGTCGAAATCTTTTGCAACTACGACGTATGCGGCGGAAAATATGAACGAAGCTGGGATGAGGATTATTATAAACTGAAAAAATATAAACACACTAGCATTTTAAGGTTAGATACACTCTAAATATTATTTTTGCAAAATATTGTCTCCTAAATATGCGACTGTACCGTTTTGGTGATATGAATTTATCACTTTGAGGTAACATAAATACGGAGGCAAAATCCTATCTGGTCCTGATTTTAAATGCTCTGGTAACAAAAATGTCACCGGCTCGGCTTACATATAACTTGTTGCTGAAACGTTGGTCAATTATTTTTGTAAATGTTGTTACCCACGGTAGAGTCACATAGTGCAAGGGAAAACTTTTTCTGTCACCCGGTTAATTAGAGTTTCCATGATAAGAACTTATCTAAATATGTAAGAATTTATTCACGTACCCAGTACAAGACGGAGATGACAGCAACCCTTCCCCGGTATGAAAAATGTACGTGGGGTTCGACAGATTCATGCCCGTCCTCCTCCTTCTCGGTAAGGGAATACTCTCCAATCCGTATTTTTGATGGGGGTGGTAGATTTGCCTCCATTTTTCCACTTGCACGATACGAATTCAGTAAATACAAATTTTAAGAATTGCTAACTTAACCTAACCCAATTCAAACAGCTCTTTCTTTCCTTGATGAAGTATTATTAATGGATCCAGGGGTACTAATCAATTACGTTACATATGTATGCATCGTATCTTTCTACCAACTCAAAAATCGTTAAGACAGATAATACGTTTTGTATTTGAAGAGTTTTCCGTCAAAATGAAACCAGCCGAGATGCTATTTACATTTACTGTATTGTATCTGCTCTGGTCGGGTGGTGGATTAGAATTACGTAGCAAACCACCATACCATACCCCTGACAATGATTAAACCAACTGAAATGAGACTGAATAGATGGGGGCCATTCATATATTACGTCATCAAAATATCTCAATTTCTCACCCACCCGACATGAACGTTAAGGGATAGGGAATTTCAACATGGGAAAGATACGAAGACCAAAACTATCCACCCAGCAATATCATGACATAATTTATGGACGTTCCCATGGGCGATCTGAAGAAAAAGACTGACTCGCACTGCCAAAGGCGTTACATGAATAGCCGTGTATAAAAGACGACCGAGTGTTGAACCACGTCGTATTTCTTGGTAAAAATTTTTTTATGGGCTCCTCTTACTAAGAAATCTTACCCCTAAATATGTAATGTTGCAAAAAATTAGAACCTGCTCCATGTACGTGCATATTACGTTTTTACAATGCTATGCGTAAGTACACGTGTATGTATGTAGAGGTTTGCATGCAATTGAATACATGCCTGCATATTTATTTCGCAAAATATTGGTTGCTTGGTGGCCATAGTATGAGGGTACGTAGTTATATCAGTACGTACTATCCTCGTATTTAGGCGTGTCACCTGATTTACAGAAATCGAACTTGTTTTCACATAATTGTTACTCTTTTTCTAGATATATCCAACAATCGCCCAATTTACCGGAGAATGCTAAATCAATCTACGTGTTATGGATCATGTTGTTAATTGGTTTCTCTATCCTCATAATATTATTTATTAAGGGGTGAGAACCCCTTTATGGGAATGTCTTGTCCGTCTGTCTGTCTGTCCGTCTGTCCGTCTGTCTCCTCGATAACGTTAGAACGGATGCGAATTTCGACATGCGGTTTTCGCCAATGTATTTCTAATTTTTAAAGTACGCACGAGTTCGAAGATGGGAGTTGTAGCTCATAAGGTCATGTCGCCACAGTGATGACGCCAACGGTCAAACGTGTCGAATTTTTCGTTTCCACCGTTTTAGACGTATTTTTGGACGGGGATTTCAGAAATCGCCATCATTTCGTCGTGCGATGGCCGTGTGACCGTGTCACTTCACCCCTTTGCTACATTTCGTTTGCAACGGTTTATTTAGAGTGTAATTTTGTAAAAAAAACAATCCAAATATATCTACATAAATGTATGTTACAAATAAGCAAACATTTACCTCCGAAAAATAAGTAAATTAATTAAACGCCATCGTAAGATGCATAGGCTTACAAACTCATCCTTTCATTAAAAACTACTAATGTCAATTTGGTTAAATCCATTTCAGGTTTAGAATTGGAAACAATAGATATTTTAGGCTCAATAAATATTTAAGTGATTCCTTGGAAAATTAGAATCTCAATACCCCAGCTTTTGACATTATAATTTTGTCTAATTTTTTCCACTCTAAGATTATCGTTAATTTGCTGAACCGGCAATTGCAAATAGTTTCCAGCCAGCGCTATCTCCTCGAGAGTCATTCGGGCTGAGGTTACGACGCGTCCCAAATATTGGACGTGTTTCTAAAAAAATAGAAAATATTTGACAAAACTTGTTAGTTTTCTGAGCTTATGTATGTACGTAGGTTAAAATGTGTTTAAAATTTAATTCAAGACTGATCTATTCATCAGTGTCAAAGGTACTGAATTATAGTCAACTACTTTCTCATAGAGAATTTAATACCGTCCCGGAGTATGATTATAATATACAGCAATAATTATTAATTTCATTTTCCTTTTGTTGATATACAATCATTAGGAGTTATAATTAAACCTTTGGTAAATGTCACAAAGTAATAAGGATAGGATAGGATAGGATGGTTTTATTCAAACAAGATCGATATGGCGTTAGCCTTTACAATCATACATCATTTAAATCTTATAGAAATCATACAATTTCATACATACATACATAATCTTATCATAAATAAATTAAATTAGTCTGTCAGCCAAAGTATGTACACTGTTGTGGGCATTATCCACAAGTAGCACACGGCATCCCGATACAGGCAGTGTACACACCATGTCTGAAGACATAAATTATAATAATAATAATAATATGCATGCATATCTATGCAGGTATGAGTGAAACAAAACCCAAAATAAGTTGGGGAAAAATTTCACTCGTACCTGCACCTACCCAAGCATGTAAATGACTGGCCAAGATTCATAGGCGATTAAGGGAGGGCTGTGGTCATCACCAAGTGAGGAATGTGGTGACGTGACACCGGAAGCAGACGGCTCTGGTTGTTGGGCGGGGACTGTCCACGGACCACGCACCATACACGTGTCCCCCATGGAAGTCAACCAGTGACCGGGGCCGAGAGACGTCCCCACTTGCCCCTATCCCCATCACAGCAGAACCAGGTCATGGGACCCCCGTAGGCCCGATTCCGCTGCCCACCGTGATGCACGACCCCAGCCCCCACTCTTCAAAACAACCACCCCCTTACCCCCACCACCCCGATCCGCCAATCAAATACATACCTGGGGGAGTCCTCCTTGGGCGTCACGAGACATAGCGTCCGTCGTCCCCAATCTTCGCCTGATGGCTCAGCTTGTCGTTGCTGGGACGGTGGGCGGCTGTAGGGGGTGTAACCAGTGGAGCAGATGGTGGGTTTGAGTGGACTAGGTTCACAGGGCTCGCTGGTACACACTTTAATTCTCTATTATTATTATTATTAGTCAACTACTTAAACCTGGCGTAAAGACGTGCATAACATTTGGAATTTCTGCTCAGGTATAACAGGAAATTTATAGTCCTATCCTTTGGATCCCTCCAAATATGAAACTCTGCAGACGGGACAATTCGCAAGGTTGGAGACATGCTCGGCACAGATATTGTGGCGGTTTTTGCACTGATGGATCCTTCCAGGAAATATCTCCAAACAGATGGGACATTTAAGTAATTCGCCCAAATCAAGGATTCCGCCGCTGGCCATGTCTGGCAGAAAAATTTGCGAATTTGAAATTTTATGGAGGGTGTGTAAAGATGTTTTCATTTTATAAATTTTTCAGCACTAAAAAATAACAATTATACAAAATTGACGCACAAATTTTAAAAATATTTGAATCTAAATTTTATTAATTTTAAGTCGCAAATAGTAAAGTTGCTAAAAAACTTACGATCTAATTTTATTCTTAAGATTCTAGTTCTATTAATTAATGCGTTCCAAGAATTGTGCACAAGTTTTACATGCCCAAAATGTTCTGGATTCTCAATTTATTTTTAATATCCCAAAAGCAACTTCAGGTTTGTAAATAATTTATTCAAAATTCCGCACCTGATTTGACACTTGTTGCTCTGTCAAAAAATTACTTGGCTTAATACATGCATACGTGTCCCTCCTCGTGTTCCTGGAAAAGAAACCGAAATCTTCCGACAGAATCTGTAAACAAATCTCTCATTTGCTTTCTGGCTCCTCACGCTATGCAAATTATTGATCGGGTGTGAGGTCTGTGCGTCAAGAATGTCGTATTTTGAGTGCCTTGATCATGTCGCAATGAATCAGTTTTCTGAATGTGTAGTGTGTCATAATCATAATCTTCATACGTTTATAAAGTAGATATTGTCACCGCCGGAGGTACTATAAGGCAGGGTTCGCTACCCCGGGTTTTTGTGGGTTGGGGCTTTTGTGGGTTTTTGGGGTATCAAAACCCGGAAAAACCCCAATGCTTAATGGGGTTTTTGTGGGTTTTTGTGGGGTTTTTGTAAGATTTTGGGGCGGATTGAAACAAACTTCTTTAAAATACATATTAGACTAAAACTAATTCAATATTCGGATTCAGCATGAAATTTTATGAATTTTCATATGTGACTTGAGTTTCCAAGTATCATTAACAAATGAATCAAGTTTTCTATTTGGTTTACATGTTAAAGATAAACTTTTGTCTTGAAACGTCAAGTCACATATGAAAATTCATAAAATTTCATGCTGACTCCGAATATTGAATTCGTTTTAGTCTAATATGTATTTTGAAGAAGTTTGTTTCAATCCGCCCCAAAATCTTACAAAAGCTTACAAAAACCCCAAAAACCCACAAAAGCCCAAATACCCCAAAAACCCCAAAAACCCCGGAAAAACCCCTGGGTCTGGGTTTTTCTAGAAAAACCTTTGGGTTTTCCGAACCCTGCTATAAGGCTCTACCGTGTTGGTGATAATTTTTCAACAGATATTAAGAATTTGTACCCAGTTTCGGTAACATTTTTGTTACCATATCTTTGATAATCGGGACAGGGCGGGATTTAGTCTCTTTACTTTTGCTACCATACATACATATTTATTACTAGTGTTCATCCGAACAAATGTGGCCTTCGCCGACTAAAAGGTTACCTGACAACTTCCTGATTTTTGACACTGATACAAATTTCTGTAATTTATAAAATTAGATTACAAATTAGACGAGATTGACGTCGGTACAGCCATGTTGTTTAGCTTTTCATTTTTACACATTTGCAACCTGTGCGTCCCAAAACTTTTCTGATTTTCATATTTCATCGCCGAAAATTTCCGTTTAAATCGGCGGCGTGGATGATATTGTCAATTACAACTGTAGCAAATTGTTCCTGAAGGTGAAGAAGTGCAATTAAAATATTCACTTCATTTAGAGGTCACGTCTGATAATATTTATGTTGACGGATGATACAAGCAGAATAGGCGAGGAATTAATGACTTCTGCGAAGGAAGGGCATCAAAAGTATCATATTTATTTTATACAAGGTTACATTATCTGGATTATTGCAGCAGTTTCGGTTGTAGTATTTTAAAACTTTACGCATATGCATCATGAATTTAGTTTTGAATTGTATTGAAGTATTGATATATTGAAGTATTGAATAAAATATGTATTTATGTAGAAATAAAGCTGCTGGTGAAGAAAAATTTAATATGCGCTTATCTATTACGCGTAAATCTATAATTTAAAACGTTGAGGCGCCATCATTGTTTTGCCTAGGGCGCCACATTATCTCTAGAACGGGCCCTGGAACTGATTACCCTTTCATATTCCAATACATTAAAGATCCAGTACTCAAACATTTTTCCAACTCGTCTTGACAGAAACCTAAACTAATTCCTGCGTTCACCAAACTTCTAACTTTCTCCATCCGCTCGTTTCTCCAAAGTGGGTTTAAAATTTGATAATCTACCCACGGTAAAGTTTTATGTATCCGAGCAAAATAATCTTCGCTATCATTCCATTCGAATTCTTTCAATGTTACATCCCCATCCAGGTGGTCAACTCCCTCTCTCCGAAATAATCTAAATTTACCCCCAAGTGGGAGCGGCAGTAGGAGATTATTCACAGTCTGGCAGGGCTGGATATTTTTGTGCAACAAACTTTCAAAAAGAAGTGGAACAATCCCTTCAAAAGACTCGAAATCATTAAATTCTTGAGAGTATTTTACGCTTTTCTTGAAAATACGTAACCTTTCCAAACGCGGAAACTGAATAGCGTAACTGAGGGGCCCTTGTTCCGATTTGGAACCGATTTTTTTTACGTTTTTCTGTTTCTTTTATGTATATAGTTATATTATGTTTGTGTCATGGTTTTTAAACCAGTTTTGTTAAACTGATATCCATTTACACACGAATAAAAGTTGAAATGAAAATGAAAATGACTTGGTTTCGAAAACGATCCGGTTTTTAAGAAAATTTACCACCGTCAAATTTCTTACTTTTGGCAGTATCGGGATAAAAATTGAACATGGCAAAAGATTCGTTCCGAACAGGTGAAGCTTTTCCAAATAGGGTGAAAATTTTCGGATCAATTCCTCAAAAACGGGGACAGATTCAGCGCAAATTGATTTCAGTCGGTAGCTCGCCACACGAATTTGATTGGCGTTAAATTATCAATTTGGCGTAGTAGAACCTTCCCCGACGATCCAATTTTTACCGAATTTTCTTTGTTTCTGTATTTTTTGTTCCGAGATAGGTGCACTATGATTCGAGACTGATCTATTGAAATTTTGTGAAATTTAATATTTTTTGGACAGGGGCGCGTCTCATATATTTCAAATGTTTAAGAAAGACCATCACCTATTGCGTGATAGTACCTGGGATTACAAAAATGTAAAAATTAATAAAAATCAATTTTTGGCGATGAATTTTGTGCGACGTGTTTAGATACGGCTCCTAATGAGAGTTTCGAGTTGGTTGTCACCATTTCGTGTGTGTTTGCAGTGCAAAATTTGCACTCATCTGCTATAAATTTTTTACCATGCTGAAAAAACTACATATATGCATGGAATGCTTGTTTTTTAGTTGATAAAACCTACACTGCATTTGGACACAGAAGGTGGGATTTTGAAAAATGTTTTTACGGCGTTAAAATCGACGTGGATGTGGGTATAATATCAAATACTTCCTTTTTACTATAGTTAGCTGTTTTTAAAATTAGCAGATCAGTGCACTTAGCTCTTCCTAAAACTAGCTGTTGGTCCCCTTAACTAACCATATTTAAAATGAATGCAGTACAATAGCGTAAATGACCCCTTCTCAAGAATTAAACCCTCAGACCACCCTACCTAACGACGAAGTTAAACTTATTCAAAATATTCGATTGCGTTTGGAATTCGCTCATATGGACTCGGCGGAGAAAATATTTTATGCTGCGGATCCGAACACCAAGTATTGACGTATACAAATTTGTTGCAATTTATTCGTCCAATAAAAAGTTATATGAGTGCAAAATTTGGGAAAGGAAAATGATCAGAAACTTATGGACTACGGTTTAGTAAAAAGAAGTTTGCTCAGGGTCCATTTCGCTTCATGGATTATGACATCTCTCGAACACGGCTTGACAGAATTGAATGAAATTTGCAGAATTATGAATAAGGGTGTTAAGGATTTAAGTTCATATCGTTAAGTTCCCAGTTATAACAAATTAGTAAGTTGTGACGTTATATATCAAAAAGGGACATCAAAAAAGTTTGCTAACCCTCTGAATTTCATTAACTATTTCGGTAATTTTCGGAAATATTGTTTTATCCTTTCAATCCAGACGTCAAGTTGTCACAGGTGAGTGAGCAAATAAAATAAACAAAACAAAACAACCTGTTTTTTCTAATTTTGAACATGTCTCTCGCCTGTGCAAGTTAAAATTAATTTTTATTGGTTCTTAATTACTTATTCAAACAAATCACAACATACTATAAATTGGGGAAGTAATGTAGGGCGTTCGCGATTTTTTGGCGACGGACTGCACTACAACATTGTAGGGATAAGTTCTAAAAGAAATCGAAGAATTGGCTCTCGTAACTCGTCGGATTTAGCTAGCCGGATTGATATCTGCCGGGAGTCCCGATTCCCGGGATTCAAAATATGGTCCGGGATTGGATTCCTTACTATTTATAACTTAACCTTTTAAAACGTATATATGTAACGACGGTGCCATGGCGTTACTGCGGTAAATTTATTGTGATCACTGGGTCATACTTCGGGAGTAAGTTGCTAAGGAGAAAACCTAGGCGCGTAAAGGGATGTCTCGAAATAGATGCTTACTGCGGGAAGGGTTTTTCGAGTATTTTGAAATTAATTTTTGAAGATTTAAATTAACAACAAATAAATTTTGTATGCAAATGGAATCAAGTTAGCAAGTTGGGACAAGGTCACACGGTGTCACACACTGTGTGTGTATGTAATTAGCGTATGATATAAAATTTTCATGAATTATGAAGAACAAAAAAATATTTTTTTGAAGAGGTCTATTGACCTCTTCCCGCAGTGAAGAAAAAATCTGGCTGGAGGCCAATAGACCTCCTCCCGCACCGAATTTCAGGAGGTCTTTTGACCTCGTCACGCAGAATGCCACAAAATTTTAGGAGGCTAAAAGACCTCCTCCCGCAGCAATGCAAAGTTTCCAAGGAGGCCAAAAAGCCTCCATACGTTTTAAAAGGTTAACTATGTATGTTTAACCAATTTGACCCCTTCTTTCTACTCTGTCTCATCCCCATCTTGCTCCTTTGCCTTTGCCAAGTAAGCTCCAAAATATATACAGACACAGGCTAAAAATCCAATCGGATAGATAATTCTCGTCACAAAGTCGATCCTACGACTGCACACGTGCCTATCTTGCGACCCGTTAAGATCGTCGCATCCCTTCCCACAGTCGCGTGAAATAAGCACAAACTCCAGGATTCCCAGGAGGATAAATCCAGTACAGAAAGTGTCCCACATGTCCAGAGCGGTTGTATAGGAAATAATGGCCGAAGGTCTGGCTGGTCCAGTTAGGATGGACCACTTACAATAAAAACTGGCCCCGCCGAGTAGTAAGGCACGTGCCACGATCAATCCACTGTTTGACGGTGTTATCCAAGTCGAGACCCAAATTAGTAGGATGGACGTTATCATGGGGATAAAAAGTTTAGATAGATATCGGTTGAGTTCTCGAGCGAAGAGGAGATCCACCCTGAGACAGCTGTAGGTTCCTGGAAAAAGATGAAATTTCTAATTACTCGAGGTATTCAAGTATCACGCGTAGTTAGAAAAAAAACTAAGTTCGCAACTTAGCAAAAATTTTCTTAAAAAGTTACTACAAACCAAAAATGATAGTTGCTCATCTCCAAACCATAATTCGTTCGATCATCCGACCGTTCGCAGAATATTTTCAAAGTTTCATTCGGATACGAACATGCTTAGTCGTGAACAGCCTTACTATATCTGGTGCAAATTAATTATAGTTTTATGGGATTCATAAATTAATTACCCGTGTTAGTTCTTGAGTCGCAATAGTCTGTTGTAAACTGTTGCAAGGCAAAAGAAGGTAAGTGTAGATCGGATGCGAGTTGGACTGGATCTACTGCTTTCCACTTGAAAATTATGTCATCCGTGGTGAAGCCATCTATAAAATTGGAATGAAAAATATTGATATCTGCCGCCATCTAGCCTCAGCAACCATGCACGGCAAGAAATGCCCGTCGGTAGTTCAGTACGGACGTATCAAAACTCGCAATGCGAGCGGTCCCCACTTAAATTGAGTACAATCATACTTGTACGAAGCAAATGCGTACTTTGAGCAAGTGTGTTTTTACCTAATTTAAGTGGGGACCGCTCGCAATGCGATTTTTGATACGTCCGTGCTGAAATACCGACGGGCGTTTTTGCCGTGTGCCAACTTACAACTCGCCATCCGCATACAACACGTCTGTTTGTCAAAAGGATACAAAACGAAGATCATGGGGCACGACCATTTCACAGTAATTCTACAAATTAAGGTATCCCAGGCAATTATTTAGAAGCACATAAAAATACACTCTTAGAAGTTTGCTATAGTCAAGTGGGTATCGATTTCGCGGTATTGAATTTTTACCATGTGGTATCAAAATTTTACGATTTGATAAATATCGTTACTGCTATGGTATAACTTTAATACAGGGTTAATACCATACGGTGTTCTTTATCAATATCGTTTTGGAAGAGTCTTATATGTATACTGTTTGGTATTGATTTAATACCTGATTTCTAAGAGGGTACAATATTATATTATTAAGGGTACCTGGAACTGTGTAAAACTTCACCGTTCGGAAACACCCGGTAATATTCGTTCGGCGTTATACCGGCGTGTATCGAGTATTCCAACTCGTTTGAGAAGAAGAGGTCCGGCTTCCACAATGTTTTTCCAAGCGTGGTCGCTGGAAGGGTTATGTAACGGTGGGCATCTGAATAAATAAACATTATAAATTGTTAACAACATTATGATCAGATTTAATTTATGCTTATAAAGGATAACATTGATCATAACTAATCAGGTATTTACTCAATATCAAGTGGCATTCATATATGACTCTACCCAAATGGTATTGATAAAGAATATCGCATGGTATTAAGTCGGTATTAAAATTATACGCTCAAAACAAAATCGTACCCAAATCGATTCCGGGCGGTGTCAATATGTGACTTAACCGCATTGGAATTGAATCAACTCCGCCGGGGATATAATATCTTCACGCAGCGGAGTCATTTATTACAATAAGGTAAAAATATCTTCACCAGCTGTGCCAGGATTATTTCCGCGCTTGTTACGTTCATTAACACCAAAGCACGGTTACAATGTTTTGTGGATTTTTGCTAAGAGTGTACCATAACAGCAAAGATTTTTACCGAATGATATAATTTTAATATTAAATGGAAGAAGGGTCAATACCATGAAATCAATACCCGCGTGATTATTCCAGACTTCTAAGAGTGAACTGAACGGTGCATATATTTACAACTGGTATTAATCCAATTATTTATTTCGAAAACTGGGCATGATTTAGCCTCTCGCCGAAAAAGGTAATACCCCTGTCCGGGACAATCTTTCCAAAAAATATTTAGTTCTGCAGTCATAGAAATCAGGTATTAAATCAATACCAAACGGTATTCATTTATGACTACTAAAATGGTATTGAAAAAAATACCGTGCGATATTAAATCGGTATTAAAGTTATACCATAGCAGTAATGATTTTAACCAAATGGTATAATGTTAATACCAAATGATAAAAAATTCAATACCGCGAAATCAATACCCGCGTGATTATAACAGACTTCTAACAGTGTGTGTATCTACCTGTTGATTCGAATTTAAGTCCCTCATCCAACCACTGCATTCTAAAAGTGAGCTGTGTCTTGTAAACCTTTAAAAGAGGCAAATCAATAGATATTTATAAAAATATTTAATTGAACCGGAATTAATTTGAGTGTTGCCTATTTTCCACCTGAAAGACTTGTTCCCAGTGGGAAATAGGAAAAAGTGGGAAAATGGAAAGAAAAGTGCCGCGTATGTCGCATGGGAACTAACGTTTTTCTCATTTCCTACTGGTTTTGTGGGTGGGAAAAAGTCAGTGTTTCGTTTCTTGCGGTTTTTTTCTTGCACTGTAAAGCAAGAAGCTGCAAGAAATGCAAGGCGAAAAAAACCGGAAAAAGTGCAAGAAACGCGACGCCATCTAGCGACGTGCCCTATGAACTATAGCGGCGGGAGGGAGTTTCTTGCAACTTACATTTCTTGCGGGTAAAAATGACTGCAAGAAACCACTTTCTTGCGGTTATTTCTTGCAGGTGGTTACTTGCACCCGAAACACTGGAAAAAGTGTCTTTTCCCACCGTCCGGTAAAATGTGGTTTATACCACTTGCAACACTGAATTGAACCGATAACCAAACATATTTTTCTCACCATTTTTACTTCCTCCAATTCTGGAATTGATCTGATATAAAAATTAACGCTGACCACGGTGGGAGATGATCCTTAAATTAAATAATACTTAATTATGTTACAAATATTATCAATTAATAATTATAATCGCTACCATTTTCGCCGCTGGGTCGCATATTGCCGTTATAACTTTGCAGTATTTTTTCAATGATGACGTTATCCTTGACGGAATATGTGGTCGTGGAAGTTTGAGTTGCAAGTGAACTAAATTAAGTCAAAATTTAAAATTGTGACATAAATACAGAAAAGGTATTCACTTCGCAAGTTTGCATCGCAACATATTTATATCAAATTAGCAAATTGTTGCAAACTTTTTTGCTCATAAAAACAAGCTCTTGAAAATGTTTCAAGAGTTCCGATTTTCAACTAAAAATTTTGCGAATTTGCCAACTTTTCAATTTTTTTGCGGAAGTTGCAACCTTACGAAATATTTAATTAGGCTTGAATACCGTTATGTTTAGTTAGTGAAAAATATATTATTTAGCATTTATAGCATAATTTTTGTAACCTTGCAAAAAGTAGGATGGATGCAACCTTTATGACGAACGTTTTCGCGAAAGATTTTTGCAAATTTGTGATCTAACAATTTCTATTATGGAAAATATTACACAGTTATTTATTTAAGATGTTGTTTCAACAGTTAGTAATGATTTACTGGACTGATTTTACCTAACCTTGGATTAGATGTGAATATTTGCGCATTCGTTAACTGCGTGTCACTCTCTCGCTCAAAGTTAATTAAGACGAATCAAGTTTGATTACTTGAAGTGGACCGAGATCCTGGAAATGGGACGAATAAACGACAAGTTTATTTTTGGATGCTGCACCTCCTTGTGTTACATATGTCTCATTCTCTGTTTTTGATTAAAATGACGCTTATTTCAATCTTTGTCACAGTACGTACTTGGTAAAGAAAACAACAATTTGTTTTTCAGCGTTAATAAGATTACTTGGCAAGACAAGGAGAGAAATGCGTTGCAAAGAACTGGATCAGTGTTTTGTTGTTGGGTTGGGTTTGTGCAAGTTTGCAAATATATTTATTTGCAAAACTGGCGCTGAGCCAGTTTTTGCGCTACAAGGCAAAATGTGCGAGTTTTTGCGAATTTTGAAGAATTTGATTGTTTCAACAAAATCGTCAAAATTAGGTCAAATCTCGCTGGAAATAATTTAAACGATTATTTTGAACCAGAATTTGGCCACTGTCTCGATTACGGACCCCAATTTTCTTAATGCCTGAATTTTGAAAAATAATCACATTTTCTCTATTAATATTGCCACGATCGAAACATGGTACTTACATAAGTATCGCTATTAACATATTGTTAAATTAGACACGTTACGTACACGTTAAGTATAAGCATAATAAGCTAATTTGGTGTGTATCTAATAAATGCACAATGTTAGAACGAATCCGTTAACCATACTATTTGATTCGGAATTTTGTAAACAAAACGAAATTTGGTTGATAATTCAAAAATTCATTAATAATGCGAAAGGTTGTTAAAAATACGTTCACTTGTTTTTTTTCACGATGCTTGATACATACATAGGCGCAGCCACGGATTTTTTCCAGGGTGGGCACTTTTTTGAAAACATATGTACCTTATGATACATTTAGATATGGTCTAAAATTATTTAGAAAACATGGAATGGTTAAAACAATATGCTGTATTTTCACAGCAGTATTTTGAGAAATGTGTTTACTTTGATAAGGGCCCTTATCAAAAGTTCGCATCGTTAGCAACGTTCACAAAAAACTAAAGTTATCAATTTCGAAGAAAATTTTGACTTGAAAAATTATTTGCGAACCTGCGCATCTCCAGGCTTATTAGTATTTGGCAAAATATTTTTCAATGGGAGAATTTGCAAATCTCCATTAGTTACTCATTTCCCTTTACCCTTAGCCATTTGAAAATTTGTATTTCGTATATTTCAGACGTAAAACTACTTGAGATCAACGAATTTTTCTCGTTTCAAGTTTCGAACAAATTTTCGTCGTTTATGTCGTTTCAAACGACATAAACATCCAGTTTGTTTCAAACAAACAAACGACTCGTTTGTTTGTTTTGCGTTTGTATTGACTTCGTTGCTTCCCAAATTCGTAATTTAGATAAAGGTTACGTTGCGATGCTAACATGCAAACTCGTAATGAATGCCATCAATGAATTTCTCCCGGATTGGGCAATTTCCATATGAAATTTGTCAGTGTTGCCGAGCTTATGTCTTGGAAGGGTACAGATTAAAAAATCCGTTTATCTTGGATTGGTTAAATATTACTTAGTACTGCAATTTAAACTCCTTTCCCGGTTTCTTAATGTGTACCCCCCTCCACCCAAAGTCAGTGCCTTTTGATTGTTGCCGAGCTTTTAAATTAAATAATTATTTTGTTTATGGACGGATTTGGATGAAATTTTCATGGTAGGTCAACATTTGCATGGGTTTGGATGAGGCGTGGAATCCTGACTACACAAAGAAAAAACCCAAAGTGCTTGTCGGTTTTTTAATGAGCACGTCTTAGACACGGAATGGCTTGGATTATGCAAAAATATCATCAGAACGTTCTCTGGGTATTTTTAGCCACAATTTAGTAGTGTTGCCGATGAGTTGTAAATGAGTTGTAGATGAGTTGGCCATAAATTCACTATAACAATTCACCAACTTGTGACATGTTGAAATTTTAAGCCTTTTTGGACACTCCCAGATAAATTTAGGATTAAATAAATGGTATGAATTTCAAATAAATATAAAAATTACAAAATTGACAATTTTTCGGGCAAGCTTGTTTAAAACTCATTTACAACTAATTCATGGCTCATTTGCAACTCGTTTAAGTTTGGCTTCAAACTAAAAGGGTACAATTTTTATATTTATTTGAAATTCGTAACATTTCATTCCAAATTTATCAGGGAGTTCAAAAAGGCTTAAAATTTCAATACAATTTTAATGTATGTCACAAGTTGGTGAATAGTTATAGTAATTTTAAGCCAAGCTCATCCACAACTCATCGGCAACACTACAATTTACATACGTAGTCACATTTCGCTGCGTGACAAGAATGAATATGTTGGGGAAATTTTTAAGCAAACTAATGGGCGTACTCACGTCAAGACATCTTTGCATATCTCACAAATTGAGCATGGCAATATAACTTTTACGAAATTTGAGAGATTTGGAAAACCTTTTGGAAAACCATGGGATGTTTTTACGCAAATTTCGAATGTGGCTTGTTCTTATTCTTTGTTCTTTGCAAAGTTATTTAGGAAACTCATCCTCCGCATCATCATCTAGAGAAATTACAAAAATCCGCGGAAGATAAATGCTATAAAAAGATTTTCTGGATTTGCGAAGTCATAGTTTTCGAATCCCCTCTATATACAAGTTTTTGTCAAGTTTGCTAATTGAGTTGCAATGCGAGATGAGACGTCCTCGTAAATACGCTCAGTGTATAATAATTTTATTACACCTCAAAAAATTGTGGTATAATCATTCATTACGACATTAAAAAACTTGGTTTTAGTGACAAAAACTTGCCCTAGGTTATCAAAATCACACACCCAAAGAAACCTAAAATACTTTCACACTTCGATTTCCTCCTGAACCTGAATGGTATTAATTGATAAACAATTTCATATAACTTAAGCTTTGAAATAGATCTTACTAAGATCTATTTCGGTCTATTTCTATTAAATAGGAATAGTAAGAAAATCTTAGTGAAATTTATTTCTATAAGATCTATCAGATTATCTTACAAATAAAATAGATCTTATAAATTGGCCTAGCCGTAATTTCATGCTGTTCTACAAACAATGACGGAAACATTTGCCAATTTTTTTGCAAATTGTGAAAATTTGAAAAATGTTCTAAACTTGAATTTGTCCTTTTTAATTCGAACGAAATCTAAAAGGTTGGTCATGCTTGATAAATATTTTTTTTATCTTATTGCAACAAAATGGACGGATTTCTTTAAATTACGATTTTGAATGAAAATAAGATTAGATGAGAAGCATGCGCATGTAAAAACACCTTGATTACAACCACTGGACCTACTGGCTGTAATCAAGTGGGCCATTACCCAGGGAGGGAGAAGAGTATCTGAGCTTGGCAGTGGGAAAAAACGAGAAAAACCCACTGCAGCACTGGGAATTGAACCCAGCACCTCCATTTAGCCCACCCAGATCGACGGTAAGCAGGAAGGCATTTTTGCCACCCCGCCTCGTCACCCCTCTCATGACCATAATTGTTTACTGTGTTTATTTTAGCAAGTTACAAAACCTCTGAAGTATCGTCAGTTTTTAACATACTCAAAGATTAAAATTCTATATCTCATTTTTGATTTTATGCTTTTTGGAAAACTGATCAAAAATAAGCCCGGGAGGGACAAACTAACGATATAAGTTTTCAAAATTTCTTGCAGCTTGCAAAAATAAATATATGTACATATATCAAAAAAATTGTTATATATTGAGAAATATGTACATAAAATAGACTTCCCATTTATGGTTTTTTGCTTTCATCAAGAAATTTTTGATTATTGTCGCCCGCTTGCTACAATGGGTAAGTTTTGGAAACCTCTGGTCTGCATAAAACTAATATACATTTTTTTATTTTTCATTGAAAGTTAAAACACGAAAATATTTAAATTCACGAGAGTTTAGACATTTTCGCAATTTACAAGAAAAGTGCAACATGCATGCGCTTGTTTGCATGCTGGCGATTAGCACGAAATTATGGTAATTTACATAGGTAGGCATATAGTTTGTAAAGTTCATTTAGGAAGCCGTTGATTATGTTAAGATCTTATGTACGTATAAAAATGGCACGTTTCCCTACAGCCTCGCCGAAAATGAGATTTCCATGACAGAGTTTAAGTTACATTAAATTAAGAGTAGCAACAGGAAAATAGCGAAAAAGTTCATACTGCACGAGATTGAAAATTTTTTCTGAGTAAATTTATACAAAATTACAATCGAGCAAAAATATTGAAATTTGCCAGGAATTTTCCAGGGTGGGCATTTGCATTGCGTGCCCACCCTGGCATTTTCCAGGGTGGGCAATGCCCACCCTGCCCATGCGGTGGCTGCGCCTATGGATACATATTATGTAAATAATTAGTTTAACTTTTTTGAATAAATTTTAAAGTGTGTTATATAAAAATTAGAGGAAATTTTAATCCAATGCAAAAATTGTAATATCATCTATATTATAATTTCGAAAAGTCCGTCCCGTGAAATTTTCCGTGATATTCCTTCAATCTGATTATTTTAGGTCCACCAATTAGAGCAAGCCTTAGATGTAATGGTTATGGTTATAGTTATGGTTATACTTATGATTATACTTATGGTTATGGTTATAATTTAAAACTTCCTTAGCAACGCCAAAAAATTTCCTTAGCAACATAAAAAAATTTCAACCTCACCCCCACCCAATTCCAACCTCACCCCCACCCAATTCCAACCTCCCTCAACCCCACCCCACACAAATCCACACCCTACTCCCCACCGCCCATCCAAATCCACTTTCGTCAGATTTTTACGAGGCAAAGTAACCCAACTTAACCAAAAACTGAGTCAATCTGATACATACTTGTCTTGTCTAATCTTTTGTGTATCATCATTGTCGCACGGTGCTTACTTTGTCACTCGTAATAAACAGCCTAATTGATGTGCTGACTAGTTTTAGCGATTGGTTATACTGGTTGCATATTTTTGAAAGAATATTAAATTGCGAAGTAACCAAGTGGTGGCGTGTTTCGCATATTAGGTA